ACAATGTCAATTTATACAGCATATTGGCGGAAAAATCGTGATGAAACGTGATGAAACGTACAAAGGCTGAATGATAGTGTAAGTTGCACCAAAGACTACAAGAACTCTACTCCGAAAGGCCTCATCAGATTTGCAACCGGCTTCATCTCTTCGTGTGCTAATTTACCTGATAGTAGAAATACCATCGCAAATCCAGTGCCAAGCCAAGCCAAGTATGTGCAACCAACTTCTTGTTAACGAGGTCATCCTTGTTCCATCAAACAGTTTGCGATTCCCATTATTACACTTCTAGCCAACGAAACAGTCACGATCACTACTTTCCCACCTCTCACACTCACCAGGGCCGTGCAGGCTTGCTCCACAACAGGCACCTCAGCAACAGCGATAGCTGAGTGGATAGGATGTGTGCACACACACACACACACACACGCGCGCGCACGCACACACACACACGCGCGCACACGCACACATACGGGACACTATTCATTTGAAAAACTAGTCGAACATTGAAGGACCGAGGGCTTTAGAATAATCAATGCGAGCTGCACCAATCGCTGTCTCACTGTAAAGTGGATAGGTGCATACAGGCGTACGCAGGCACAGGTATATTGGTCAGAGCCGGTGCAAACCACATTCAACCCCCAAACACAGCACACTTCTACTCAGTGCAAATGCCACAGAACCATACAGTGCAGTACTGCAGAGATCTTAGAAATAATTATCATGCCATTACAACATACACACTACAAAGCACTGCAGAGAAGCCTTTGATAAGTTCTGTTGGCACCATTGTGTTGCTTTCAAGTATAGTGTATGCATGTGCATGCCGGTATGCATGGAACAGCAGTAGAGTCAAGTGAGTACTAGGGTTTTTTTTTGTATTGGCATTCTATTTTTCAAAAACTTTCGTTGCACCGCTCGTCCACTGGTACATGGTATGCATGCGTTATGCATGCCTTTGAGTCAGTATTTTATGACTTGGACGATGGGATCACCACGGCAAGTAACGTTAGTTATGAACAGGGAGTCGTCAAATACCGGGAGTGGAAACGCCGTTAATCTTGATTATCCATGCTCGCCTCGCGCAAATTTTTTGCAGTGCCTTGAGTACCTCAGCGTCGTCAAATGCAATTTAGAGTAGCCTTTAGTATTTTTTGGGAGAAAGCGTTCATCAGAACGTGTATACAGAGATATTTGCAGTGGTCTGCTCGTTTACTAGTAGGAGGACACCTAATTTATCGGCAGGCGTTATCGCAGTGTTGCGATGTATGACTGGAGGCCCGATTCACGCGCGGATAGTGACGTGACTTTTGATGTAATTTATCGAGGAAAATAGCTCAGCCTCAGTAATCAAAGCCACTTGGTTCGACCCACGAAAAAACTTCTCGTAACCATTGTCCTTTTCATATAGGTGCTACCTGTGAATTTTCTCGGTGTAAGATGATATGCCACTGACTTTTTGAGGGACCCTTCGTTTCTAAAACATTATTGATTTTTAAATCACGACAACATTATTATAAAGTCAAGGAATTTCTCTTGTTTTCTTCTTCAGTGTAAGAGAACATCACCACTTTCAGTATGTCTCATGTCAAGAGGAAGCATGACAACGTATATGCACCACCAACACTGAGAATCCAATTACAGATTTGGCCGATTGTGCCGAGTATCACAGAATTGACAATGCACACCGAATTAAAGTGTTCTAAATCCCTCTCTCTTTCTGTCTCCCTTCTCTTTGCCAACTTTGGGTGTCAGCAGTTACGCATGCGTACATGCACGCACCAATATACGGGTGCACACGTACTCATTGGCATGCACAAACTGCACATCCACACACACGGCATGCACGCACATTCACACACATACACACACACTGGAATGCATGCATGCATGCACACACACACACATACACACAAACCTGGTCCTGGTAAACACTGCCGTTACGGTCACCTGTCCCCTTGCGGGGCCGACAACATGGAAACGACGAGCGACGGCAGAAAGCCGGCAGTCTGCCAAGAGATCAGGGACCATATTCAATCGGCACGACAAGAGAGCCATCTTTGGCAGCACACACACACATACACACACACACACACACATACTGACATGCCCACACTGTGCATGCACACACACGAACACACACACGGTGGATGCTCATGTGTCTCAGATTCAATTATCTTTTCAAAGTTTGGTAGATTCGGAGACATGTTGGCCAGAATTTCATAGCCGAAAGTCGCCAACACCGACTTGACGCTAGTTAACTCAGGCTTTCTGCTTGCTTCCAGTTCTCTTCTCACCGCAACAACACACCAACCACCATGGTATCTTTTTGGTGTCTCTGCAGTGCAGTTGACTATGGCGGTGGGCTGGGGTGCTGCTGCTGCTGTTGCTGCTGCGGATGATGCTGGCATGATGGACGGCTTTCTTGCCACTACTGTACCGCAAATTAAACTTGAAAACACAGCTGATGTGGTCTCCAGGTCTGGACAAAACGCACACG